AGGGATAGGGAGAGAGGAGAGGGAGTCAAGCTAATAGCTGTTGGCCATTAAACTCTCAAAGTTGATTAAACACGTCCCGGGGGCGAGCAGGAGGCGAAGAGGGCGGGATCCTTAGCAGTGGGAGGTTTGCAGCTATTAAAAGTTTTTGGCTGACTTGATCCAAAGTAGTTTTCCAAGTGTCGAGATTATTTCGTGTATCAAATTGATTGGCCAGTACCCTGTCCCTGTCAAGCTCACGCTATGATACCCTACACTTGCCACCTGCTCGATATGAAATTAATCTTTGGCTCTTAATCAATTTCTGAATGCAATTTTTAAGCTTCACTTAAATGAAGCATAACAAATCTGTAGCTCGACCTCTTCCTGATTTAGTACAAGAAATACTTTAAGAAAACTGACTTGCTTCACTTGTAGCTCTTATCACGAGCTTTACATAGCGTTAACAGCTCCGCAACATTGCTTACATTTATAGCTCACATAAAATGAAGCTGAGCTTCTTTGAAGATTGAAATACAATGACCTCTGGACATGCCATTAACACTCTCTTAACATAGCCTTAACATATCTTAGTCTTATATTTCACATAATAAAGTTGAAATTAAAAAATTCTGATAGCTCGAATTGCCTGGGAAAGCCTATTTATAAAAACACCTCTAACAGCGCGTTAACATAGCATGCAGAGCTCTAGCCTTAACTTAACATTAATGGCTACTCAATTCTTAACAGTTCCTTAGCATATCGGTAACATAGGTATAACATACCTTTAGCATATTCTATGCACTGGATTCCATATATCATATAACAGCACCTCATCTCTGTTATGTACAACGAATCAGATATATGCTAGCAGCGACTTAACATTACGTACTTAACATTAGCTTAGTATAGATTGACTCATAAATAGCATCCAGCTTCTAGTTCGCTTCATTTCGCCCGCTCTAAGTGCCTGCAGCTGTGGCGGGTCGCATCACCATGAAATTAGAGAGTGGTTGAGGGGGAGGTGAGTAGCAGGGCGAGGGCAGGGGGCGGGCTGGACAACATGGTCATAACGAGTCATAATACTCTTGACAAGCGTATTGGTAAAAAGTTTTTTGTTTAGCTCAAGTTTTGCGAGAAGCATTTTCAATAAAGTTGGCAGCAAGAATTTTTGGTTTTTGGCCAAAACTTTTGCTGCTGCTGCTGCTGCTGCTGCTGCTGCTGCTCCTGCTGCTGCTGCTCCTTTTTGCTTAACTTTAATAATTTGCGCAGTGCCCGCAAAAGTAGGCAACAGTCGATTTGCCCAGCGAGCCCTTGGCGATTGGCACAGTGGGACAAACGCCAACATTTCTGTCTTAGCAATCGAAACCAAAGAATCTCGCCTTTTACATATGTGTGTGTGCTGTATCTGTATTTCGGCTAAGCAGTAGATTGAGCCTTACAGACTTTTAACATAATGTTACAACTGTTAAGTTAACAGCTGTTAAGCGCGATGAATTCGGTTGGAGACAAACGTTTTCGTTCAAGTTTCTGTTGACAAGTCCACTGTGCAGAGAGTCAGCGAAAGAGAGTGAGAGAGAAAAGCACCATGGAACAGATTCACGGAGAGAGAGGGAGATAGAGAGAGTGCGCGCGAGACTGACCAATTGAGGATAAGAGCGAAGGCAGCGAGCACTTTTAGCATATTTTGTAGCTTTTTCTTGTTGCGCTCGTGCAACTTGGGCTCAAGTTTTGAATAAAACTTGCATCATTTAATAATTACACACATGCGTGTGTGTGTGTGTGTGTGTGTGCTATATATGCTTATGTATATTATATATATAAATGTGTGTGACTGAAGTTGGCTATCTATAGCTGATGTGGCAGCTAGCAGCATATAAAATATATGTACTAATACGCTAATACTAATTCGCTATTACATTTACTTCACTTTTTGGAGCACCCTGTGCACAGGGTGTACAGAGCTTTTGTATTTGTGATTCTTGCTCTTTAACCACTTTGGGTCTCGTTTAACAGCCATTTAGTCAGTAAATCAATCAATTTGTCAGTCAATCAGCCTGTCAATCATCAATCAGTCATCAATCAATCAATCCATCCATCCAAGGAACTATCAATCAATCAATCAGTCAGTCAGCCAGTGAATCAGCAAGTTAATTCACTCATCATCGTTCGTCAATCATTTACCAATCAATCATACCTCAAAGAGTGAGTCAAGCAATCATCAATCAAGCAGTTTTTCAATCATCACTCAGCTCTATCTGTAGCTGAAAATAAATAAACAAAGTTTGTTTCTTTCTTTTTTTTGAATTCGTCTTTTTATTTTTATTTATATTTTAATTTAATTTTTAATTTTATATTTTTAATTTTAATTTTAATTGTAAATATTTTTATGTGTTAGGAAAAACAATGCAAAAATTATATTTGAAACGTATTTTTAAGAACTTCTTCTGATCCTCCTCTTCTTTTTCTGCTTCTCTTTATCCTTCATTCTTACGCCTTATGCTTAATCGTTCGTTATTTGCTGACAGCTTAATTAATTTTTTATTTTTTATTTTTATTTCTATGTTTTTTTTTTTTTAAATTAAATTTTTTTTTTTTGATTTCTGTGCTAAATTTTGTTTTTTTTTAATGCTGGCAAAGGAATCAATTTATATATATATATGTATATACTATATATATATACTATATATATATTATATTTTATAGCATTTTTCGAGATCCTTTAAAAAAAAAAAACAAATTATTGTAAAAAAATTTAAAAATTTAAATTAACATATAAAAATGTTTTAAAAAATATTTAATACTTGGTTTTTTTTATTATTTTTTATGAAGTTGGTGAGGGCGCGGCAAGCTGTTGGCCAACAAAATGAAATGCACTAAAACAATTTGAGTTTAACTTTCGTTTTGGTCAAACTCATTTTCATATTTAAAAAATAAAAAATAAAAAAAATTATTTTTATTTAATATTAGATACGTTTCTCTAGGATCGAACTGAGCTGCAGTAGTAGTGTGTCTTTCAAACAGTTCTTAGAAAACAGGAAAAGTTAAGTAAGCGTTAGAAAAATGTTATGTGTGTGTGAAAGAAAAATGAATCGATATTAAGGGCATGTTAACAGCATGTTATAGCACAGCAAAGTGCGGAGTGTTAACAGTATGTTAGCTGCATGCTAAGATCGAGTTCAAATAAATGGTTAAAGGATGTTAATTCAATGTTAAGTGAAGCTTTAAAATAGTGTTCATGTGTCTATTGACAGCATGTTAACAGCATGTTAGCTGCATGTTAAGATCATGTTCAAGTAAAAAACTCCAAGTTAAGTGAAGTTTTCAGACAGTGTTCAGGTGTCCGTTAACAGCATGTTAGCTGCATATTGCTGAAGTCACTGTTAAAGCGATGGTAAGTTCAAGTTACAGAAATGTTAAGTCAAGTGCACGTTAACAGTATGTTAAGCCGATGTTACACTTAATGTTAAAACAATGGGAAAGGTGATGGAGGCTAGACGCACAAGCACAGGGTGTTTCGTGGCAGGCCGTAACTACGTTAAGCTATGCATATTTCTCTTTGCTTTAACTATTTCGATTTCGTTTTCAACTTTTACATTTGACAATTTGCGCATAAATTGAAATTGTTTTTATATATATTTTACTTTAAGGTTATACTGTTCTTGCAGTGTTGTACAGCGCTATAGTAGTGTTGTGTAACGTGGTATTTCGACATATATATTCGATCTTGATTAACATTTAGATTGTGTTTTCTTCTTGATTAATATTTCCTATATATATATATATTTATATATATATGGATATATATAGATATATATAGATATATATATATATATCTTAAAAATTATTTTTGTATTTTTATTTTTTTTTCTTTTAGTTGCGATTGCAAAAGAGTGAATTATACATTTATTACATAGAGCTTTTAACACTAATTTAATCTAAAATTTCCTTTTTCTTTATTGATTTTTAATAAAAAAAAATCTTAAAAAAAAATCCTTATTTATGCTATATATATATATATATATATATATATTTGCATATATATATTTTAAGATTTACAATTTTATAAAATTTCTAAATTGAAGTTTTGTTTTTTTTTTTTTAACTTGTTTTTAATTTAAAATTTATTTGTTTTTTATATTTATAATTTTTGTGTATAGTTTTTCTTTTTTGCTTAGCTTTAAGTAAACGTTATTCGTATATATATTTATAATTTTATATATATGTTTTTAGCCTAGCAAAAAAAAATTGTTTTTGTTTTTAGAGAGAATTTTTCGTAGGTTAATGTTAATTTATTATTAAAATGGGATTTTTACATACTCTTGTGCTATATGTATTATATGTAGTTTTTCTTTTTGTATTTTTGTATTTTCGTTTTTCTTGTTTTTGTTTTATGTGTTTTTATTTACTCGTTTGCGTACTGTCCTTTTTGTTTAAGATGTTTTGCCTGGTTCGCCCTGCGCTGGCGTCGCTGCTGCTGCTGGCGCTTTACATGCTCGTCTTGTTTGATTTGCTGTTGCATTTTTGTGTGTTTGTGTTTCGTATCGTTTCTCGTTCTAATTACTAAATTCTACATCAGTCGGTTTGGCACACAAGTCACGCGCTTAGCGGCACGTGCGATAGACAGGGACAGCGTATGGGTCAGAGAGAAAGTGTGTAAAAGGAGCTAGTTAGCTGCCGCTGCGCTGCTCTTATTAGTAAACATAAGAAGCTGATACGCTGCTGCTGTTAGTGAAACTTTAACAGTGTAGATTGAGCAGCTGTATCTGTTAAGAGTGAAGCTTTGCAGCTTTCGTAGTGCAGCATGAACAGCTGTCGCTGTTAAGAGTGAAGTGCTGCCGCTGTTAATTAACTTTAGCTGTTGTGATCGCTGCCATTTTGTTTTTTTTCTTTCTCTGCCATTTTCTTTACCATTTGCTGTTGTTAATTAACTTTTGCTGCTGTGATCGCTGCCATTTTGTTTTTATTCTTTCTCTACCATATGCTGTTGTGGTTGCTTAAGGGCAATTTGAAATGAATTTTCATTTTATTTGAGAGGAAGGGGTAGAGAGAGGGGGAGGGGATGTAAGGGGCATCTGTCTGTGTGTTTATTTCTTGCCAAATTAAACCTCGGTGCCGTCTTCGCCTTCGTCATCAAACAGCTGGCTGGTGCTGCCTTGGCCGCTGCGCGTCGCCGTGACGGACATTTTCTTTTTGGGCTTTGGCGGCGGCCTGGGTGGTATTTTAGCCATTTTCGGCGAATCGCCGCCAGGCGTCGCTGTTGCCATTGCCATTGGCGCAGGTGCAGCGGCAGCGCCAGCAGACGACGGCGAATTCAAGCCAGCGCCGCTAATGCTCGAACCGGGCAATATCGTAATACCGTAATGGCGGCCACCATATAAAGGTTCCGTATCCGAATTGTATAAGTGTTGTTGTTGTTGTTGTTGTTGTTGTTGCTGCTGCTGTTGTTGCTGTTGTGCTTGCTGCTGTATTAGCTCATGTATGGGCTCGTAGATCTTGCTGGCTGTGGCCGATGCTACCGATGTCAAACTGGGCGTGGCTGGCAATGGGCGATCACGCATGGTATACTGTTGCTGTTGCTGTTGTTGCTGTGCACCCTGTGCACCCTGTGCGCCGCCGCCCTGTACCTTGTGCAAATTCAAAGTTGAATTACCGCCCGCCGTTGTGCGCAATCCCAAATTATCGTAAACCGGTTCCGCTTGCAGCTCCACAGTTGTCGCCGTGCCCGTTTCGCTGGGATTCGGTGAAGTGGGCGATTGGAATTCACCGAGCTGATGCTGTGCGGCAGCAGCGGCAGCGGCGGCCGCTGCTGCAGCCGCATTGGATGTGCTCGGCGCCCAACTGGGCACGCGCGGCTTGCGTGGAATGGTCATGTAGCCCTGCTTCATCACGACGGCACTGGAAGCGGGCGAATAGACAACGGGCGCTGGCAAGAAGGGCGAGGCAGAGGACGAACCGGGTTGCTGATGATGCAGTGCAGCAGCCAGGTGCTGTTGCTGCTGCTGCTGGTGACGGCTATTGGCGGTGGCGATGAGGGCGAGATTACGAGACTTGGGATGCTGCAGGGTCATGAAGCCATTGTGTGCGGCCATCGTTGTCGTTGTGGTGCCGTAGATACCGTGGGGCGTCATGTGTGCGTAGACGGGACTGGTTAGTGGTGGCGGTGGGGAGCGTATGCCGTAGATAACCTGATCGGGTATGTTCGACTGCGAGGACTGCATAGAGGGCGAGGTGGGTGGCACACGGGCCGGAAAGGCCAGCAGATCCGGTGGCAAGCTATTACCGTATGCATCATCTACGTAGGCGTGCCGCGAACGGGGCGTGGTCGTCGTGTCCGACAGCGCCACCGAGTGCGTCTCGTCGTCGCGCGTATGATTGGCTTTGGCCGGATGGAAATAGAGAGAGAGAGTGAAGAGAAATATAAAGTTTAGCTAAAGAACAATTATTGAGGGGCGAGGGCAGTTTGACAACTTATGACTCTAACTTCATACGTATCAATATGCATAGAATATATATTTATATACTATAATTTATAAAAAGTTTCATTTTTATTTGTGCTTCTACCATACAAACAGACTAACTATCGATATATTTATCGAATTATCTGCTACACAACTTATGTATTTTTGATCGATCTATAGTTACGAGATTTATTCATCTATGTTTTTCCATAACTCTTTCTCTTTGTTTATCAATTTACTATCGATGTATGTTTTGATCTCACTATCACTACACTCATCGATATTTATATCGATAAATCTTTTTATTGCTCACTTATAGGTATTTAAATATTCATTTAATTTATCGATTTATCGTTTATCGGCCTTTCTGTTTAGCGTGCTATTTATCTATATATCTATATATCTATATATCTATATATCTATATATCTATATATCTATATATCTATATATCTATATATCTATATATCTATATATCTATATATCCAAAATTACAATATTCTCTTTCTCTCTCTCTCCCTCTGTCTTTTGTCGTTCCTCTCTTTCTTTATCTGTCAATCGTTTCTCTTTCTGCCTATTCGTCTCTTTCTCTTTCTGTTTCCCAGTTCCATTTATCAATAGTTTGTTCCAATATTATATAAAAACATATGAAAATGAAATAAAATTCTTGGGTATTCGAGAGTTTTCTATTTGTGCGTTCGAACCAAGCCCGCATCAACTAAACAACTAAATCAAAGAACTAAAGAATTTTTGATTTGTTCATGCTTTTTAGATACCTTTTGGTTTTTGCTGTCTTTGCTTGCTCTATTTTGTTGTCGACCTCTAAATATGATTCAATTCTGAAAATAAAAATTTCTCAATTCTTATATTCAGCTAGTGAAAGCTATGAAAAGTGTGTCGATACATATACGTAAAATATACCTGAGCTAATCCAATATCAAATTATTCAAATTGAATTTGACGTGCTTCACTGAATTGTTTTATGATTCGCAGCTTACTGCATAGGTATAGCTAGTTTTTCGTATAGGGAATACCCTTACTCTAGGAATCCCGTCTCAAATATCTCAACTTAACTGTGATTTGCTTGGCTCTACTCATAGCTCAACGTTTTTTGCAGTTCCTAAATAGATCCCTTACTTTGTCATTGCCAAATTCATGCAGAGGATCATATGACTCTATCTATCGATCTATGAAATAATTTCGATTTTGTTTGCTCATCTCACTGTATTAAGCCTAAATCTTTTATTCAACTGAAATATCATAGCATAGTTCTCAATATATATATATAATATTCTATGTCTTTCATAGCGCCTGAATATGCTATGCATTGCTGCCTTGCTGTATCAGCCACACACCAAACGAATTGCGTTTGTGGCTGTTTGGCTTATGCAGCACCAACGACACAAACAATGAGTTGATGCAGCAGCAACAGCAGCAGCCGCACAACTATGGCAATTTTTTTGGGCAGTGTATCAATTGCATTCAATTTGGCTTTTGCGTTTGTCAATTGCAATTCAATTGCCAATTGCAAAATTTTTAAAGCAAACATCCGCTAAAAAGTTGTTGTTGCATTTGTTGGTTGCCTGTTTGCTTGTTTGTTTGTTTGTTTTTGTTTGCATTTGTGTCGTACAGAGCTGGCGGCCAATGTGTTGCCAAATGCGGCGGAAGTAATAGATACAAATGTATCTCAAATGTGAATTCAACAAACAAACACACAGACACACACACTTGTGAATGTTGTTGCTGTTGCTGCTGCATAATAAAAAGAAATGCAAGCCAAATTGTCGAACGAGTTGTTCTGCACTCAACTGGAAATATTCGACAAATAGATCAAATGTGCAATTGCCAACAGCGAGAGGGAGACGCTGATAGAAAGAGAACTGGTGTGGAGTGGGAGAGCAAGGAGTACAGCTATACTGTTTAGTAGGCAACACACGTCGTTCATTTTGTAGTGACAAAAACAAAAGCTGAAAAGTGAATGCCATTTGCAATTTAACTCTGCCACTCCCACTCCCACTCCCACTCCCAGTGTTATACCCCACCGTAGCTATTTCCTGCTCAGTTCTGCAAGCGCCATTTTGTAGGCACAAGCATTCTGAACTGATGCAATATCACTTGGTTTTACGTCTCTCTCCCACTTTCACTCTCTAAACTCACTTTAAACTCACAGCCGCCATTTTGCAGGAACGAATAAAAGCTGTACAACTGACGCCATTTGCAATATCACTTGCTCTGACACGCTCACCACATTCTGCTCTTACTATTTCTGCCTCCCACACACTTCTAACTATTGCTATGATATCTAAGTTTTGGCTTTTATTTGATACTCTTGCTTTTGTGAATTGCTCAGCATTATATCAATTGCTAATTCTTTTGACCCTTAGCTTAGTTGGTCCCTTCATTCTTTCTACACTCACCGTATGCCGTCTCATCGAGTAAGGTCTTCTTGATCTCATGTCCATCGTCTCCGCCATCGACACTCTCGATGTCAGTACGTCGCGGTGGTTTCTCAACTGGATTCACCTCGTTGAGCAGGCTCTTTTGCATCTCCATGATCACAGATCCCTCCAGCATCGAGCTATTGTGTGTCTTGTCCAGTTTGCAAGAGATCAAACCATCGCCGCTCATCATTGTGTTGTCCTTCTGATAGGTCTTTACCCGACGACAATACCAGAACAGTGTCAGTACCAGGCAGATGAGCAGCACAAGAAATGTCGTCACAATCAGACAGATCACTAAGATGATGCTCGTCTGGGGGTCACTGGTCGAGGCGCCAATAGCTCCACTGATGCCAGCCAAACCATCCGAGGCAGCTGCTGCTCCCAGATAGTCGCCATTCACCAGCAGCTGGAACTCAGCTTCCGCTTTGCCACCTCGATTGTCGGCGACGCATGTGTAGACGCCCTTATCCGAATTCCGTACGCCGTAGATGCGCAGCTCAGAGGTCAACACCTGAACAGGTGGTTGCTGTCCGTTCACCTGTTCGCCCACCGAGTTCAGTATGCGGAAATGTTGATCATTGGGATTCGGATTCAATTGTCGCTTGTTGTAGATCCATGTGACATTGGGTCGCGGCGTGCCAACGATGCGGCAGGGCAACGTGATATTATCGTGATTGGCCTCGACAAAGGAGCGCACAGAGCCGAGTATACGAGGGCGGCAAGCAAAGTTCTCCGACGGCACCTCGCTCCACAGTTTGCCACGCAACTGTGGCGGCTCCCGGCAATCGGTGGGCGGTGTATAGAGGCGCTTGGCTATGGCAAAGTCACGAAACTCCTGCAGCTCGCAGCTGCAGTTCCACGAATTGCCCTGCAGCGAGAGATACATCAGCTTGGGTAGATTGGCAAAGGTCTCCTTGTTCAAGTGCGTCAGCTGATTCTGTTCCAGTGAAATGGAGCTCAGCGGACCGCCAAACACGTTCAGCTGCACCTGCTTTAGGCGATTGTTGTTGAACTCGACGCGCGACAGAAACGGCAAATTGATGAACAAGCGACTTTCGAGTACTTCGATCTCGTTGTTGTTGATATTGACAATGCGCAGCTTCTCCAGTCCTTCAAAAGTGCTCGGATGCAGCTGTTTAATACGGTTGCTCGACATGTCCAGCTCGATTAGAATAGGCAGGCCCTTGAACGCATCGCGATTAACCTCTTGTATCGTGCAGTTACGCAAATATATTTTGTGCAAATTTTGTAGTCCGGCCACTTGGAATTCCTCGCGGCGCAGCTCCGGTATTTGATTCTGTGAGAAGTCCACGACCTGCATCTCGTTGCTCATGTCCTGCGGTATCTTTGTCAATTTCTTGCCCTTGCAGTCGGCGCTCTTCTTGCCCGAATTCCAGTGGCAATGGCAATTGCTGCAGTTCTGCATCCAATCTCTGTGGCCAAGCGAAATTGATGCTAGCGTTAACAGCACTAGAGCTGTTAACAGCGGGTGTAACAGCGATGGCGATAACATTCTGTTAAATATTAAGATAATTCCTTACTGTTGACCAATCAATGCGTCTTATACTGCTGTTGGGACTCTTTTGAGTTGTTTGTATTCGCTGACCAATTGGTGCGAGATTATAGTGTCTTGCGTTGAGCTCGCGCGCTCTTTAACGTCTCTTGTTGTTGCTATGTTTTATATGTATAAGTATAAGCTCTTGCTGTCGCTCGGTATTAAGTCTTATACTTCTTTTGAGTATAAGTGTAATAAGTAAAAGTTATAACTATCTCTAAGTGATCTCGCTTTAATGTCACTTTTTATATTTGCTGTCTTATACGTATAAGTATATATTTAGCTTAACTTGGCTGCTGTAATACTGTCTTCTACTTTCAGGCGCCGCTTATAACTGTAAGCTGCACGCGTTTGCAGGCCAGTCGCGCTCTTATTGGCTGGCACTCTCTATCTCTCTCACACTCTCTTTTTTTCAATTCCTGCTACGGTTCACTTTGTAGTTGTTGCTGCTCATAACAGACCTAACTGTGATTAATTAAGGCGCCCCTTTTTTCCTTTGTTTTGCTGTTGTGTTTGCTCTTCTTAGCTCTTGGCTACCTTCTCCCCCTCTTGCTGGTTCGCTTTGTTGTTGTTGTTGTTGTTGTTGTTGTTGTCGTCGTGGGTTGGCTCTAAACTCTCCCAATTAGCAGTGCAGTTGCCAGCTGTAAGAAAAACAGAAAAAGAAATGTCTGCGGATTAGTAAAGGTTGCTAGACAGGGACGGGGCGAGAGAAAGTGTAAGAGTCAGAGGAAGAGGAGAGCTCCCTGCCATAAAGATGTAGATTAAAAGTGCGTAAGCGCCGCAGCGGCTGGCTTAACGGTAACACCTGCTCAATTCAACAAAGAGGAAACAATGAAAACAATTAAAAGTGGAGGAGTGACAGACTAGTGAATACCCTATATCCAGCAAACTGCTCTGTTTACAGAATACGTGCTCAACTGCGTATATAATTCCATATGCCACATAACACATAAATAAAAAGACAGCGCATAATTACTTATTAAGTATTCCGTATTTGTATTACGTATTCGCTATTTTTTATAAAGTATGAAATAAGTGGTTCATGCGTAGGCCGTTACGTTGCTCCGTCTGTTCAGCGTAACATAATATCTAGTCCGCTTTAACAATACGTCAATTTTCTTCCCTTACGTAACGTAATTCTCTTACGTCACACTAGTTCTATCATTAAATTACTTGAAGACTTACTGCTAATGCAATACTTTAAGTAACAAAATATTTTTAGCATACGTAGGCTGTTGCGTTTCAATGGAAGATCTTACGTCACCTTAATATTTACGTAATCGTAATGCATACAATTGATATGGAAATATCTATTCAATTTGTTCTGTTCACGAAGGAGCAATGAATAACTAAATGTTACACGTCTTTAATTTGCTGCCATCTGTAGTTGCGTCACGCGTCGCAAGTACGTCGTGACGCAAGTACGTCTTGCACCTTATTACGTCACACAGAGCACAGCGTGCATAATTGAAGGCATTTCCAATTGTTTGCTTCGCACCTTCTTTCGCCTGTGATTAATTGTGACAACTGTCATTAAGACAGTTTACGTGCTTCATTACGTTATTCATTACGTAATTCAATTACTGTCACATGCTGCGTAACCAAACAGACTGTCAGACAGACAGACAGCGGCAAGGCCAGAGAGGGGAGTAGTATGATAAGGCAAAAGGCGACAAAAACCGCGGAAAAAGGGAAATGAAAAAAAAAATTAAAACAGGGGAGGAGAAGAGAAGAAAAGAAAAGTAAAAGTAAAAGGCGAGACAAAGGATAAATTTTTGCTGCTGTTGCGGTTAAGACGAGAAGCATTTGGAGAGTGGCCTGGGCTGGGGCATGTGGGGGTCAACTTGATTAATGAAAATACCGTTAGAGTGTGACACTTTGCGGTTTGCCTAACTGTGCCGGCCACGCCCACCTGCTGGGCGGTAAAGGGCGGTACTTTGCGAAGTTTAACCTTCAAATTGAGTGGGCGGACGGCTGACGTGCCACGCCCCATGGCCCACGTCCCATGTTGAACAGTTTTTCTTTGTTTGCTGCGCCGCCACCGCCCGGTTGAGGTCAAAGTGTGAACAAGACAACAAAGTAAACTGCGAGCTGTTGCCTCACTCCTTCCCCCCCCTGCTATCATCTCTTCCGCCATCTTAGTTTTTGTATTAATTAAACAGTGGAGCAAGGTAAGAAACCTGGTAAATTATTTATGAACTATTTTTAATAAGCAACGGCAGAAGCAGCAGCAGCCACAATAAGTAACAGAAGGCGCAAATTAGTGCTGAAAAAAGAGCAGCCAACAACAATGGGAATAAAGGCAACAACAAATGCAAATGGCGCATATTTGGGTACTTCATACGCTGTCCATCTCGAAGCTGCTTGAAGCGTGTGTGCATATGCTGCAGTGAGAGAGGGGGACGGTAAGAGGCGTTCAGCGCGAAAACCTCAAAACAAATTAAATATGCAAATAAAAGAGGAAAAAAGGAATTCTGCAATTTTGCGCTTTGTTAAATATTTGCTCAATGGGTTTACGCTTTAAAATGTTTCATCTCTTTCTCGTGCGCTCTTTTACTTTTTCGCGTTTTATTATGGCATTTGCATTGCTTACAGCGTTTTACCACCCTCCCCCATACTCTTCACACTCGCTTCGGGCTCAGCTGCTGCGTAGCAAAAACAATCAAATGATATCTCAAAGCATTCTGCGAGTGAGGGAGATGAGGAGAGACAGACTCTCTCTCAGTCTCGCGCGCGCACTTCCCCTCTCTCTGCGGCCATCTTTAAATATTTACTTAATTCGAGTGCCATTTTTTTGTATGCTCTTAAAATGGCTTCGAATAATATCTGGCTACATTAAAGCCGCACCTTGCCCTCTCTCTCCCACTTTCTCTCTGCCCGCATCTTATCCTGTGCACAGTTTATATCTGGGAATTTGTGCTCTACCGCTGTTGTCCCCCCCTTAATTGTAGCGACAATTTGCGATAACGATTTTTGGGTTTGAGACAGTTGCTAATGTCCCAATTTGTGTATTGTTTGTGGCGCCCTCTAGCGACCATTCGCTTGACTCGATCCCGTTTTACCATGTGCTTACACAGCTCACTCCCTCCCATAGCTTCGCTTGCTACAGTTGCGGGCTATTTTCAGTTGTAACGGTTGTTACATTTTACTCCGTCATTTTATTGCCATTTGCGGTTGTAATTGCTGTGTATAGAGTGTCACGCCCATACGCCTCCAATTGCTTCGAATAGGGTATGCTACTGCACTGCTGCTGTCTATTGTCAGCTTAAATCGATTTGAACAAATTTAATTGCTTTGGTTTTGGGTTTTGGTTTTGCCTTTGTCTCTTTGGGCTTTTTTTAGGTACTTTTTTTGGTACTTTATTTGCATTTGTCAGTTGTTGTTGCGTTTTCCTTTTGCGTTTCTTTTTTTTGCCAATCGGCAATAGGCAATTGCTTTTTAAGTGTCTTTCTAGCTGTCTCGCTCGCTCTCGCTGTTTGCTCTGTGTTAAGAGTTGTTGAACCGTCAAAAAATGTGCGCGAACAGCAGCAACAACAATAGCAACAGCAACAGAGTGAACAAAAACAATGCAATTTCCCATTGACCGGAGCCGTCACAACAAATTTGTTGCCAAATGAAGCGAATTTCTTTTTCACAATTTTTCCGCTTTTCATCTCGTTTTCTTTTTCGTTTGTTTTAATACTTTTTTTTTATGGCTGTCCAACATAAATATTTAACAATGCGTAGAATATGGTTATTGCTTTTTATAAAACAGCCGAAAGCTGACCTGCCCAGCCCATCCCCCGCCGAAAAAGAAAAGAGAGAGGTGGAGTAGTAGAGAAACTCATAACTGTAAGCTAAAAGCCTACTTGCAAATTGTTTCATGTTACATTCTTATTATTTTACTTCTTTTGCTCTTCAGTTGCGCTTGACCGATTTGTAATTCAATATATCGTCGTCGCGGCGGGGCTAGTGGGTATTCAAAATTCATTGCACGCAAAATTATTGCAAGGCAATCGAGACGAGCAGTGAAACTCGATGTTTTTCGTGGGCTAATGAGCGGAAAAATGAATTGAAAAGTTGGTTAAATAAGCTCTATCGGTTATAAAAATAAGCTCTATTGGTTAAAATATACCGTGTTTACAAGTGAGCTGGGTAAATACGGTGGGCGGGGGAGAGGGAGGGAGAGGTAGAGTGAATCATGAAGAGAGATAGAAAGAGAGAGAGCGAGAAAGAGGAAGAAACTGTCTTTCATTTTCGCCATTTCACACATCAAACGCTTTAACCAGTTGCGAATTACAAATGAGCATGAACTGTGATGATAATCCAAATAGATTTGCAGCTATCATGTAGCAAGGGATAGAAGCAGACAACAGCTTAAATCTAGGCCACAAAAAATGAAAGCAACAGAGCAACATTCTGGCCCATGTCTCTTCGTCTCGCTCTTCCTCTCTCTTCTCTCTCTTTCCCTCTTAGCGAGTTGTCAAACTGAATTTGCATGTGCATTTGCATCCGCATCAGGCAGCTAGCGCGACATGAACTTCTTGCCAATTCCAATCATTGGCGCATCATGTTGCCACCCTTTTCCAATCAGGCACCCCCCCGCTATTCCCCTTTGATTGCAACGGGTTGGCAACTCTTGGTTGCCTCTGGGAATTGCTTATTCGGGCGCCAGCATCTAATCAAATATTCAATTTCTTGGCAACTGCTCTCAGGGTTGCCATGGTAGCGTTAGAGTTGTCCTTTTTGTTGATTTTCCCACTATTCCCTGGTCTGGCAACTCTGGCAAACACTAATCGGAAGTTAATTGACTGGCTGAAGGAGTAGACGACTAGCAGGTGCCACGTAAACAGTGTATATGGTAGAACATGAATGGAGACACTTGAAGATACCCTGTAATTCGTGATCTTCATGGGGTATACATATTCTGTAACTTTAGCATATTGCCTGGTGCATTCAAGATTCTTAGCTATATTAAAACAGATATACACAACTATTTTTATTTGTATTTCAGAAGTAGCTGAAATGCAACAAACAAGGGGCATGACCTAGCTCCATAGATGTTTACTCTCACATAGTTATACTCTAGCTGAGATATACAAGTGGTGAACATATTACAGGGTATACACAAATATGGAGAAAATCATGTGGCTGTAAGATGCAAAAAAACTTTTGTTTTTACCAAAGCAACAAACGGAAAGGGTCGCTCTAGGAGGAGCGATAAGGGGCGGGGTGCATCGAAAAGGGGGTTGCCTTTAGTAGAGGAGGGGACTGTAGTTTCTGGTGGCCAGCAACTTGTTTATAGCGTAAATTTCATTTGGGCCAAGCTCGCGCGTCCAGTGATTGAAGAGCCACAGTGCCGCAGGCACGCAAGACGTAACTGCAGACAAGATGAAGTTGCAGGAGAACGTGGAGCAGTGGCAGATGGAGCAGAGAAGGTAGTAGCTGCCGAGAGAGCTCGTTGGCTGGGCAAACTTTGAATTTAATTTGCTGCTCGTCTAGACAAACGCGTTGCGGCTGCGTTTGGGTTACGTTCTAAGTCGGCTACGTGGCTCGATTTGATTGCAATTTCGTATCCAAGCCGACGGCCAAGAGAATAACTGGACGAAAGAACAACAGGACAACGGGATAACTGGACTTTAGTGGAAGGTGATCTGATTGC